CAGCTCTTCCCGGCTCTGGCAGGGCCCCATCCTGTCACCAGCGGTCCTGCTTCCTGTTTGTGTTGCTGCTTTGTTGCTTCCTGGCGGTCACCCCAGCCCGCCCTTCTGCTGAGCCTCCGCCCTGGGACTGGCTCTCTTCCCAGCTCTCTCTTGTGCTTGCAAATCTGTCTCTGTCTCCGTGTACACCCCACGGTCTTCCAGGATCTGTGCTGGCCCTGATGCCTGTGCCACTAAGCCCGCCGGGTGAGGGCTGGCCTCTCACACATGCCCCCATTCTCTGCGGACCCCGTTCAAAAAGCATTTTGGCATTTGCTATCTCACCTGCTCTTTCCCGTTCCTTTGAGGAGGGGGCGAGGGTTGTTGCCTGCATCTATTGATAGAGAAAGAGGCCCAGAGAGAGAGAGACTGAAGCACTGAGTGGTCCCGGAGAAGAGCAGGACTCATGCCCATCCCATCAGCTCCTACAGGCTGACACAGGGCAGCCACCCACCCTGTGCCCCGTTCCTACTGCACACTGAGCCCTGCATGCACTTTTGCATGCCACCCACACCAGCACGGTGCCAGGTAGGCGTCATGAGTGTTATTTTAAACCATGGAAACGGAGGCTCGCGGGAGCTTTTGCCTCGCCCAGGGTCATGCAGCTGGCACATTTGTCTGACTCCTCTCTGCAGGTGCCACTGAGCTTCCCCTACACACCCTCACTTCACCCAGGTCTCTGCTCAAGTGCCACCCCGCAGGGGCAGCTGCTTGAGATAGATTGCTCTGTCTCAAACAGCTCTCTGTCCCTCTCTGTCCCCTCACCCATCTTTATCTCTCTGTGGAGCCTTTATCACTCCCGGATATTGTATACATCTTCACTTGTCTCGCTGTTGCGACCATCTGTGTGGGGTCAGGGACTTGGACTGTTTTGCTCACTGCTCAGTCTTCCTGATGCAGGGTGGGCACTTAATAAATATCTGTGGAAGGAAGAGAGGGAGGGAGGGAGGGAGGGAGGCTGTGTTTCTTTCCACCTTGAAGCTAAAATACTCATGTTTGGCCAGGTTGCCAGAAATGAGAGGCAACAATCCCACCTACATATGAAAAGCTCAGGCATGAGGTGGCCTTGTTCAGGATTCTACCACAAACCACAGATAGATTTAGGACTAAACCATCCAATTCTCTGCCTAACAAACTAAGCCATTGCCAATTATCCTGGCAGTGGCTTCCTGCACCCTGCAAACTGTGACTAGGAGCTGCTTGCTGAGCTTGCCTGAACGCCTCCCCGTGTGCTGCAGAATTCTCGCCTAGGCACCACTAACCCATCTACCTACACTCGGGGGCTCCTGGCAGCAGGTGCCAAGCCTGTGCAGTTGACCCCTGTGTCGTCCACACAGGACACAGTAACCTTACTGCTTCCCTCTGATCCCGCTCCAGATCCACACTTTTTTTTTTTAAACCAAAGCATGTAATTCCTATGGTTGCCTTGATCCTGGGAAGTAGCCCCTCCCAGTGTTCACTACCCCTCATGCTTAGAGGATCCAAGAGGAAAGCCCCACTAGAAATCCCAGGAGTGTAACAAAGCCCCCCAGAAACGCTCTATCTTGTGGGACCTTGACCTTATTCCCTCCGAGCTGCAGAAAGCTGACCAGGGAAGGAAGACAGCAAATCTGCATGCCCATACCTGCTCTGCCCCCGGGCCCCAGGAACAGGCCTCAGCAAAAGTCAAATGTGAGGCAGCAAATCTGACGTGAGACTAGACCTAGGTAAGCACTCTCCCTTCTTTATTCTTTTCTTTTTTCCTTTTGGCAAATAAACTGGACAGAGATGAACCCCAAACGCAGATCCATTCTAAACTCAATGCTCGCACTCTTCCTAACCATGGTGGCCCACGGGGCACCCAGAGGACACTATACTGCAGGTGGTGGGTGAAGGGGCTGTGGAAGGTGAGGCAGTTTTGTATCAGCTCCGAGGAGATGGGCATCTGGATTGGACTAGAATTCATGTTAAAAGTGAATTAATTGGAGGTTCCAATGTGCTTTGAAGGGTAAAAAGAAAGGAGAAATCACAATTGACAGAATCACAGTTGAGAATATCAAGAAAGATTTCATGGAAGAAGAGGCTTCTGAGATCAATCCTGGAGGAACAGCAGGGTTTTAATAGGCAAAGATGGTGTGAAGGGCAGTGCCTGGAAGGAGGGGGTGACTGCTGGGGAGAGTGGGAAGGGCTGGCTGGGTGGGGCAAAGGCTGCATGAGTTTGACTGAGTTTGGCGAATATGCCCAGGAGTTAACAAAAGCTAAGGCTGCAAAGGAATTAGGGTTCAGGAAACTTGTCAAAGGATTTTGCACTTAATTTAAAAGACAAAGGGGAAGGGATACTACGGTTGTGTTAAGAAGAATAGGATTCTTTAAAATTTTATTCCAATTAAATTAGGGTAAATTCAGCCCCAAAAACTGATATTTGATTTAGAAATTGGAAATTTTTAAGGTATGTTTGGACAACTTGGTTTGTGAATCCTCGTTTATGAAAACTACATACAGATTAAGTATGTCTGATGAAACTTAACTTCCAAATTGAGATGTACCCTAACTCTGAAACACACTGGATTTTCAATACAATATATTTTTTTAATCATCCTGACATGGATTACACTTTGTAATGATAATATTTTGGTCTTCTTGGGTTAATTTTAAAATGTTATAAAAATTAAAGCAAAAAGAGGCAAGGGTAGCCATTGAAGGTCTTTGAGCTGGGCTGTCACGTGATTAAGTTGCATAAAAAAAATAACAGCAACAACAATAACAATTCTGAGGAAGTGTGTGAGGCAGATAGCAAGGAAGAGAGTCTAAGACAAGCAAGTCCCTCGGGAGATTTTTTTAATGGCTACTCAGAAATAACCTGAGTCAGAGACACGGAAATATGCCCTTCACCCCCCAAACATGGCTTGGACATGGAGTCCCTGTTCTTAGGGATATTTCCACTGAGCTAACACCAACCTTTAATCACTCCCCAAATACTTCACAGTCAGGAAAGTTCTGGATTCTATTGGGAAGGGCCTGCCACTGTGAAGGGTCAAAGGGGACCCTAAAGGATCCTGGACCAAACCTGACCCCTGGTCTGAACTGGAGGAAAACCTGACAAAGTCTGTTATTGCCTCTCAGGCTGGAATTTACCATTGGAAATGCAGCCTTTGTCACTGGCATAAGAACTGCTTTGCATTTGATGACATTTTCTTCGAAATGGTGTGAGAAAACCTTGACGTTTTTATTAGAAAATCCATAAAGCCCAAACAAATGGTTCCATGCTGCTTTGCCTCATTCTTCATAGGTTCATCAGCAATCCATCATCCCTCCCACTCGCCTTGAACCCATCAGCAATGACGTCTTGCCCATGAACAAAAGGACTACCCAGAGAAGCCCTTTCAACCTTAGTCGTCCTTTGCCCCTCAACTTTTACCCCTTAAATCAACTGCAATCATTCCGTTTTCACTGGCACCTTTCCTGAAAGGCGAAACAATGTTGTCACCTCCTTCCAGAAACTCTTCCTTTATCTCTCATGACACTGAATTACAGAAGCTTGGCCTGCCTTCTCTTGAAGTTAGAGATGGAACTCTTTCTCTGGTCGACCTCCCATGTGATTAAACTTCCAGTTTGAACCAAATAATTGAGTTCAGAGAGAAAAAATAAGTCTCTCTCTGAGATGGCCTTTCGAAGGTAACCTACCTCACTTTCAACTCTAGCGCATCCACCCTTACTCCTCTATCTGCAACCTCCGACCTATGCCTTCATTCTCCCTAAAACAAGCTGGTGTTGGGCTTCCTCTTCTCCACCTTCACCCCGGGCTTTCTTCCCTGCTGACCCTCCTCCTGTCTCTGCTGCCCACCCACCAGGGCAGCAGCTGCACATTGGGATCTCAAGCATGCACACTGCTGATCATCGTTGGACCCTGCCACTCTTTTTGCATTTCTGAGTGAGTCAGATGCCTCTGCCAACACCATCACCATTTGGGTCTTCCTTGCTTCTCCGCCTAGCTCCCTCTTGCTTACTCTGGTTAACCATCTTTTCTCTGTGTTCGGTGTTCTGCTCACCTATCTATTTCTTTCTTCAGCCAAATTTGTTAGGTAATCACGTGTGTTCTGCTCACCTATTTCTTTCTTCAGCCAAATTTGTTAGGTAATCACGGTTGGGCAAAGCATGTGTTGGCATGAGTTTTGGCTGATGGGGTTTTCATTTAATCCTTATGATATCCTTACGATGTAGGGAGGGTGGAGATCATCGTTGGCTCCCTTTTAAAGATGATAAAAATGGCCCTGGCTGGTTTGGCTCAGTGGATAGAGCGTTGGCCTGTGGACTGAAGGGTCCCAGGTTCGATTCTACACAAGGACACATGCCAGAGTTGCGGGCTCCATCCCCAGTGGGGGGCGTGCAGGAGGCAGTGGATCAATGGTTCTCTCTCATCATTGGTGTTTCTATCCCTCTATCCCTCTCTCTTCCTCTCTGAAATCAATAAAAATATGATAAAAATGGAGGCCCAAAGAGGGCAAACCCCTTTTGTTAGGCTCCCCAGCTCACAAGGGTGAGACCCACATCTTTAGCCTCCAAGTCCCACCTCTCTACCCTACCCCACCGTTTCACTTCCTCATCGACTGCTATGCTGCATTCTCATTTCTGATTTCTGGCCTCTCATAGCTCTCATCGTTCCTCGGCTTTGCTCGGCTTCACCTGCATCGCTTCCTCTCCTCTCCGTCCTCTGCCCGAGCTCCTGGTGCACAGGACCTGCCAGCCAGCAGCTCTGCACACTGAGCTGAGAGGAGCAAGGCGGTCCTGTGCCACCGCAGAGCGAATTGCCTGGTTTGCAGGAGCTCTTTAGAGCATGTGATCTGGAATGCTGTCATTGGTTGTCCTCATCCTCTCTGCCCGCTACCACGTGGATCTCACACACGCCCATCATACCCCAGGACACCGCCACTTACTGGCAAGGCAGTCTCCTGTGTTCCCAAACCACCACGGACTGCCACACGTTGGAGGCCCATCTGTGGGTTTTTCTCATCCTCGGTGTGTTCTGTAGCACTCCCTGGGAGCAAATAGACACGGTGGGGCAGGAGGGGGGGGGGAGGGGGTACAGGCTGATTCCAGCAGCTCAAGGAACTACCTGCGCCAACTCAACTCACCAAGTGAGACAGTCAACAAACCTGTGCTACAGGGGAAGGGAAACGCTGCCAACAAATAAAAAATAGACTGCTTTGTCCTGGTGTGTTTTCTTTTTAACAGAGACTTTGGGGGTCATATTTATTGATTCCTCTTCAAGACCAGAAACAGACCCAAATAGCAGGAAGTTCAGTATTGCTCTAAAACACACACAGTAGTCGGGGGCAGGGACAGTAAATGGAATTCCTTCAGTACCCCATGCCTGGCAGGAATTCTTCTTGTCCCCTAATCCCCCTCCCGTGTGACAATAGCCAAACCAGGCAGGCACAAAGAGCCATGGAGGAGGTGACACCTCCCTCCTGGGACCTCATTCCACGGACCACCACCGCCACGGGGAAGCTCCTTTGTCTTCATATGAAACTTCAAGTATCGTGGTAGTGCATGTAGCTATGGAATTAAGGTCAGATAAGGTCACCAAATAAGGAGAACTGGATTCAAGCTTGAGGACGACCCGGGGTTAGGCAGGAAGCCAGTAGGCAGTCGGGGAGAGCTAGCGAGCCAGACCTTCTAGCATGACAGCACCTCTCCCTCTGCCTGTCCTCCTCTCAAATCCCTGCCTACCAGCCTCGGCAGGCTCAGCACGAGAGCAGGACCAGCCCCTCTCATCATGCCTTATGTCCCCCCGCAGAGAGCACTTAGGCACGAGTTGCTACATGGATTCTTTCTGTGGGAGATGATGGGCACGTCACACTCTCAGTGCCTCTGCTTTTTAAAAAAAGAAGATAAAAAGAAGAGGATGCCTTCCTTCCAGCCTATTCCCACCATCCCACCTTCCTACACACACACACACACACACACACACACACACACACACACACATTCACACTCTCAACCAGAAGCACCTTGCAGGCTAGTAAGCAACGGTGCTGTGAGGTCCTTTCCAAGAACCCTGCATAAATATTGCAACATCTTTTGACAATGACCACATGGCTACTTAAGGTGATCTCGTGTTGTTTAAAAGAAAGTCATAGGTTATTCTCAGCTCCAGGAGAGAGCACTTGGCTGCAGCTTGAGTAAAGGGGCAACCTCATCTTTCATTGGTGCCCAACTTCCACAGGAGGTAGAGAGGATGCCTTGACCTGAGCTGGGCACTGCCCATCGCTTCAGGAAGCCATTCCCTTCCCAGATGGGCCGCCAGGGAGTTGTTCCCATAGCAACATGGAAAGTTGACCATGGATGGAGACTGGGAAAACTGGTGGTGGGCCACCCTTCTCCCCATTTGATTTTATTCTAATCAGCATGGATTTAACAAATGTGTAATATATATAAATCATAGATATAAATGTATAAAATTTGTAGACATCTGCATAGTATATATATTTTTTGTTTGCTTGTCCCAGACACTGAGACTGCATTGCCCTGTAGGCCTGTATTGTAGGCAAGGATGTCCCACGATCATTTCTAGATGTTACTAGTAAGTGCCACGACTCCCAGGATTCCCAGCATGTCTGCCCCCTCTCTGAAAGCTCTTTGAGGGTTTCCTGTGACTAGAATTTCCTGAGCTTTCACTCCGTCCTTGCAAGACATCTGGCCTCTCTGCACTGCAGCTGTAGTTGGCCCTCCCCCGCCCCACACACCTGAGCCTTCGCCATCCCCCACCTGAAGCAAATCCATCCATCAAAAATATCCAAAATTGCAACCAGAATTCCCCCCCCCAAAATCCAGAATTAAATGTTTTCTTTTGAATCTCCATTAAGTTTCATTCTTAATTTTTTTTCTTAAATTCATTATTTATCCTCTTGGAATATACATTGCTGTACAATGAAGAAAAAATTTAATCATTTTGCCCAATTAGCTGAGGCCACGTGCCTCAGAGGTGTGCCTCTTGGACATTTATAATTGCCATTAACCAGGAGAGCAGAGGAGGTCAGAGGTAGAGGCCTTGGAGGGTCAAAGGTAGCAGGTGACCATACATGGGCTTGAGAGCCACTGTCTGCTTCTCCCGAGAAGAAAGGTAGGTGCCAACTAGCAAGTCCTTGCTCGCAGTCATTAACCCTGGACAGAGGGACATTTTGAGTGACAGGGAGCCAGCAGAGCACCACTCAGAGGAATGCACAACCGGTGACGGCATCTGTGGGATGCAGGAGGCTGAACACCAGCAGAGAGAAGACAGAGGAAAGGCCCCGTAGCCAGAGCTGTGCAGCTCTGAAAGCAGACGGGGGTGGGCCCGGCCGTGGGATTTTCAAGAGAGCTTTTTACTTTTCTTATCTTTGGAACCAAGTAGCTCTTTCTCCCTCCTTCTTCATTTTTACGGCTGTTGATGTGCTGCTTTTGCTTGGTTTTGTCTAATTGAAGAAATACTGAAAGGCTATTGTGTAAGATCGTGCAAGCAACCCAGTGGCTCAGGACAGATGTGCCTTTCTTCCTGAGATGACAAGGGTGATCTTGTGCTCCCGTGACACAGGGCATGTGACCAGTAAGAGCAAAACCCATACAACAGAGATGATGTCCTAGAACCCCTAACAATATGTGGCCTGAGGAGATTTACCTAGTCTATTTTCCACTCAATAGCATTATAGCCCAAACAAATAAATAAATAAATAAATAAATTCTTAGCTCTCCACTTATTTGCCCCTTGCCAGCGGTAGACAGGCATAGAACACCAGGAAGGTGTGCTGTGAAATAGAAAAAAATAAATCCCAATTGCCAGTTCCACCAAGTCAGAGCAGCAGGCCCATCCCCTTCATGAGCCACATATCCATCTGACTGGTGTCCTTCTAGAAAAGGAAATGAGGACACGGACTGAGGGAAGAAGACCATGTGAAGACACAGGGAGAAGGCAGCCGTCTACACGCCAAGGAGAGAGGCCTCAGGAGAAACCACCCCTGCAAACACCTGACGTCAGCCATCCAGGCTCCAGAACTGTGAGAAGATAAATTCTATTGTTTCAGCCCTCAGCCCGTGGGACTTTGTATTATCAGCCCTCTGAGGCTAATGCA